TCATGGCACCCCCATTTCCGGCGTATCCTTCGCTTTTGGTACAATGGCCTCTCTCTCTCTCTCTCTCTCTCTCTCTGTGTGTGTGTGTGTGTGTGTGTGTGTGTTTCAATTGGTTTATGAAGCTATGCTTTTATAAGAACATGGTACTAAAAATTAGGTCAATCCTTGTTTCAATTGGGGTTTTTGTGGATTTATTTATGGACGCATCTGTTTAATTTGTATTGTAGATCACGTATTCGATCAAGACTGCTCAAACTCTAGGGTTTATGAGTTGGTCATAGAAAATATTATTCACGCTGCTCTTGAAGGCTTCAATGGTATGCTCTCCTCCTTCACTTATTGTTTAATACTTTAATCTTAATGATCTCTGTTTAAATTGAGATCATAAAAAAATGGATCTCCTCAATTATCATAGCTATTAAATTCTAATATCCAAGTCTGTGTATTCCGAAACTGGTGTCTGCATATCACTTTCTGGGTAAGCTTCTACGCTAATTCGAGATGCAAAAAGATTTTTTTTAATGTCCTGAAGCACTGTGTGGTTTATCTTTTATCTTTCAGGAACTGCATTTGCTTATGGGCAGACAAGTAGTGGCAAGACTTATACCATGAATGGTTCCGAGAATGATGCTGGGATCATTCAACGTGCAGTAAATAATATATTTACCAAAATTCATATGGTATTATTTCATTCTCTATGACAAACCTCTACATAAGAATTTACTCGGGACCACTCTGGTTCTATTCCAATAGAGAATGGACTATGCTGGGGCTGTAATATTTGTGTTTGTGATCTATTGGTCTGAGTCTAAGTAGCCTTGCATTTATGTAACCAGGCGGTCGATAGGGAATATCTTATTCGTGTCTCGTACTTGGAAATTTACAATGAAGAAATTAACGATCTTTTTGTTGGTGAGAATCAGAAACTATCTATTCATGAAAGCTTGGAGGTAAGGAAATGGAAAGATTAGTTAAATTAAATGATATTTGGGTGTGAATGTGTGACA